CACATTGATAGAATTACCAAGACCCTAGAAATGTATCCCTAATAAATGAGCGCACCCCAAAGTGATGGGCAAATCTAGTAACAATATGTACAAAATAGTACATTTGAACTGTGCCAAAGTTTTACATTTATAGACTACAAGTATCTAAGCTTGATTAATTAGCACAGGTCAAAAAAACCAAATGCTGCCTTACAGTCTATGTATTTCATACTTTCCTATCCCAGAAATATGCAGTGGAAAAAAGTGATAATGTCCTATTTTGCTACCTATCAGCAGAGTCTGATCAAGTATGATCAACAAAGCTGAACAAACCTTTAACCAGGTATTGAATTTCATAAACACCCACTGCATGATGTGAAGAGGAATATATTTCAAGAACAAGCAAATCACATCCAGTAGTTTTATAAAGGCATGCAGAGAGATATACTGTAGCTTAAGCTGCACAGTAGTGACATGAGGATCTTCATTGCTATATTTGTGGAACAGACTCAGATGGATTTTTAAAACATGTTTTCCTTGAGTTGGGAAGCTAGGGTGAGTGGTTTGTATTGTTTATGGAAGATTTTTATAGGACTTTCACATAAACCTAGTTCTTTAGCTATGGGGGAAAACTGAAAGAAGTTCTGAAGATGATTTCAGTTTAGATAATTCCTGAAAAGACAATTTATCTTGCAACTGTTTTGCTAAACATTCTGAGGACTCCCTTTCCTTCTTTGCAGTTTAACCAGGGTCTTCTTCTCGTTTCCTTTCTCTGATCCTATCCATTCCCTTCAATACTTTGATCACTTTATCTGACACCTCCACCCCATCTCTCATGCTCTTACTGTTGACAAATTCCAAAATTCTTCCAGCTTGGAGAGACACAATCACTGGATTTGTCAAAGGGTTCCATATTGGGACCAAAAGAACAATGCTCTCTTTCTTAAACTTTGTGTTCTGTTAAAAAATCGATGCCAAAGAGTGTTGTTCCAGGAAGATGAGAGACAAGGAGCAAATAAATCTTCCTTCTACTTCCCTGTTGACAGGGGCAGAACAGTTCAGGAAGAGGTGGTGGAGTCCCAGGGCCTTTTGAATGCTCATCTACACAGATTTTGCAGCCTTCTGGGCTGTCTGATGGGGTGGTCTAGCTCCCCACAAGCTTGGGAAGGGTTGAAGAGATTCTGAGAATTATATTAAAGCTCAGCTGGCACACCTGGGGAGGGCATGTGGGCAAGATGAGGGAGAAACTCAAAAGAGCAAATGCAGGGCAATCAGGAGAAGGGAACCAAAAGGCAAGGGAGGATAGGAGCCTTCCCTTATGTGAAAGGTCTAGGCAAGGAGAGGAGGATGATGTGGCACCTCAAATCCACAGTCCACTTGGAGGCACAGGATTAAGCATGCTTCTTCACTATTCAATTTGCCAGTCAGTCTAATGGTAACTTTGGCAGCTGGATGTCATTATCACAGTCAGTATCACAGAGACAAAAACTGAGAAAGAGATGGCAAGATTAAAAAAAAAACTCAGCAAAAAAAGAACTTATTTGTGAGAAGACCAATATGACCAGTTCTTTTTTGATGCAATAATCTGTGATCTCCCTTAAGGCATAAATCTTCTAATGTTGCCTATATTCTGAAAAAAGAGAATTAAAGAATCAGGAATTACTTAATCCATTAAGTACTGGAGTTAATCAAACTAGACTAAGATGATTTGTTATCTGAAATTAAATGAAGACCTAAGAGAACTGTTCTTTACATTGCTGAATGCGTATCAAATTTTGAGTCTTCATTTAGTTGTGACGACAAGGTGCTTGTCTGTGCCCCACACAATATCACCCTCAAAAGTATACAACAGTAGCTGAGGGTGGAGGTAGTTAGCACTCTGATGTAACATGGTGAATGAATGCATCCTCCTGGACAGCCTACACAAGCAGGGCTAATATGGCATCTCACCTTGCTTTCTCCACCAGTCAAAGCTGGTGCTGCACCAAATAAAAACATTTCCCATTGATTTCACTGGGTAAGTTATTGAGACACTGGAGTCTCAGCCACAAAACCATAAATTCAAGGAACATTTCAGAAGCTTCCTAAACAGGTTGACTTGTTCAAAGAGTTTAATATGTACTTAGCTCTGCTGCCAATTGCATGTTTCAATTTTAGAGTTTAGTTATGGACAGTTGATGCTCCTCTCTGCGAGTTTCTGTGTAAGAGAATTCTTGTGATTGATTTAAATTTAAATATAAACATTTATTTTAGGAGGAACCGTGGCAAAATAGTAGTGAGACTTTGCAAACTCAGCCATGTCAAATAAACTGGGTAAAGGACATGGTCCACATCATAATTTAACTTATTTAAAGTGTTTGACCTATAGCATCTTAGGACAGTAGGTTGTCACCTTTCAGTTACAAAAATACAATGGTTAGCAGATATAGAAGAACTGAGTAATGTTCAGTTTTCCAGTCCTGTGGTACATGCTGATCATTTCAGTCTTCATGAAGCCATGGCTGTGCCTTGTCTCTAGTTGTTCTGTATTGCTTTATGGTGTGCCTCCCTTGTGGGGCCCTGCATTACTCTATTTACCCCCCTATATATCTATATACACCTATGTGACATACTGCATCCGACACAAACTTCTCCCTTGATCCAATCAGGACTGTTTGGATTATCTAATCCTTTTCCATCTATATTTATTTCATTCCAAATTCCAAAGAATCAGTTCAACAGTTCCACATCCCAGGACCTGTCCAGTGCTATACAGTTTGAGTAATGTTCTCATGCTTATCTCCTCACAAAAGCAGTTGGCATTTCATTCAGACTTAAAATTTAGAAAAAACTGCAGCCAGTTCTGTTTAGTATACCTGCCTTCTAAATCAACCATCACACTTACATGTTGTCTACACATTTTTTGTGTAGGCATGGATAACCTATACATTTTAGACACAATTTTGTTTACATGATTAAGGGCATGGACGCACACAACTATTACTGAAGACTGTTTTCATTTTGCTAAGGAAGTTGAAAGTAAATTCACTCCAGAGATGGTTACTCTGGTGTATATGTTGTGTATCAACTACTACTGTCACTTTTGCTTCAGGGCTGCCATTTACCTATTACAAATCAGCTCAGCTTGCCCCCTGGTGGCCAGTTAGGGCCCTGCAAAGCTTCGGTCGCTGATTCAATTTGGAGGAGATTGGGCCAGATTTGGCAGCCAAATCTCCGAATCCAAATCGAATTGGGAGACGAATAAAAAGGTCTGAATTGATTTGAAGCCTCCAAATTGATTTGGAAAAGCTTAGGAGGTGATTCAGGCAGTCCCCAGTTGCCACTACAGGGAGCTGGACCCGGACTCTGTGCCAGTAAGTAGTGGGTGGAGGGGCTGGAGGAGGGGGAGGGGACCATGGGGGGACCCCCACCAGGCCCCATCCCCTGCCAGCTCCCCCAGCCTCCCTGAGCACCCCTTGACCTGCTGCCCACTCTCCCAGCCCCGTCAATGGCTACCCCTCCTGGCCCTAGCATCCCGGTGCTTAAAAAAAAAAGCCTTGCACTCACTGGGTGCTGCAGCAGCCACTGGGGCCGCTGAGGGCTCATGGCGGAGCCCCACCATGCAGTGCGGGGCAGCGGGGGGCAGCGGGGACTGCCCCCTCCCTGGCAGGAGCTGGTGAATGTGGGGCTTTTTTTTTTAAAGTGCTGGACAGGGCTGGGAGAGTGGGCATGGGATGGGGCCTGTTCAATTCAGAGAGTCAGCTGATTCGGTGGTGGCCGAATCTCTGAATCAGATTTGGTGATTCAGCCAAATTGATTTGGGACGGTGATTTGAATCACCGAATCAAATCACTGTCCCCCAAATCAGCTGAATCCAAATCCAAAGCAAATACTAGCCGCTTTGCACAGGCCTATGGCCAAAACTATAACAGTGCCTATTTCAGGCAGCCAGCAAGGGAGAAGCTGGTCTCATGGGCCATTTGTGGAAGTGATCACTGTTTTCTAAAGTGCTCACTGATTCACATCACACAGTTCAAATGAAATTTCAATTCAAATTAAGGGTTAATAGATGATCATTGTCCATCAGGGAGGTTTTCATGCATTTCTGCACTTTTGCAGTAGAGATGGCAGGGGGCACTGGGACACTGCCCACCACTCACAATCAGAAGCACAAAAATGAATTCACTTGCTACAGTGGGCATGAGCAAGAGCTAGCTCTAGATACCTGCTGTAAATACATGTTAATTAATATAGTTTAAATTGCCTAGTTCAGACTGCTGTAGTCTGTATTAACTTTAATTCTCATTCAGTGAGGATTAGTTAATTCAGATTGGAGCCAATTTTAATTTGGACTACAGATGTCCACGTGTATATTATGATGGCTGTAGTCTGGATTAAACCTAGAAAAATGTAAAGTCTAAATTTACTGTAGAGTAAGATCCAGGATAAACTTTTCCACAGTAAATGTGTCGTGTGCCATGCCCTTAATTATATTTATCTAATAGTAATAGCAAACAAATTAATAAAAGTAAAAAATGTAGTGGGGCCAGATTCTCAACAGCAATAAATCTATGTAACTCACCAATGCCAGTGAAGGAAAGATTCATCGTAGACCATAATGTAAACTAAAAGATCCATAATGTTTCTGGTAAAAATTAATAGCTCTTATATACTTTAACAGTGCCCAATGTGAGGTTTCTGTTCAAGCTGTTAAAAGAAAATCTGGAGTGAAATAATTTGCTTCTAAGCTAAAATCTTTTATGCCAAAATGGTGAAGATCATTAAAACCTAGTTAGGATGCAAGTACTTAAAATAGGTGTCTCTAAAGGAAGCACTGACAGAATAACTATTATACAACAGGTGAACCATTCTAATGTCTGACCTTTGAACATTGTCTTCTCTGCTACTTAAATATATTATTGTGGAAAAATCCTTTGTGGGCAAAACATAAAATTGTACCACAACCAAGACATGCTAATGAAGCCTTCTGCGTTTCTCTTTAGTGGGGGTGTTCAATTAAGTTCATCGTAACTCTTTCCTAGTTAACACAATGTGTTTATAGCCTTTGTTCAAACCTAAGGCTATAATACTTGAAACTTGGTTTTCTTGAAGCTAAAGTAACACTTAGCACAGATTATAATCTGTAGTATTCTGCCAGCTTCCCCAGTAAAATATATGGATTCCTCACTAATTGCTCTAGTTTATTCCCAGCTCTTCTGGGCACATACTTATATTTCGTTATATTATTGTCTCTGTCCAACTGATGAGTTAAAAAAAAATGAGACAGAAATGTCATTTCATGAGGAATAAAAAGGCAATCCATTGAGTGAGGGTGAAAATACTGGATATTTTTGCCAAATTTCACTAAAACTGATTTTTTTTTCCTTCCTGAGATTTATGCATTACCAGGGCACCCTCCATAAAATTGATTCCTGGTGGACCCAACTGTGTGTTTTACCTGCCATAGGATGCATCTACATGTTGCCTTATGGTGATGTAGTGATGCACTACATTACTACATGGTGCGCTATGGCAATGTAGTGCTCATGCAGGTCTACACATGATCACCAGCTTTGTCACCGTAATGATGTGCTCCCTGGTGTGCTGCGTACATGGCGCAGTAACTATCTGTACTATGCTGTGCTTCAGCACTTCCTTCTGGAAGCACAGTGCCATAGCAACATCACCATAGATGCACCCATAGTCTCAATATGAAGCAGTCCTTATGGACTGTGTACTCAGCATGAGTGTGTAGTTGACGCAGTTACACAAAAGGCAAATGCAGTTTTGGGCTGTATCAATAGAAGCATTAACTGCAAGACATAGAAAGAGATGGTGCTACTTTACTCAGGACTGGTTAGGCCTTCTCTGGGGTAGTGTGTGCAAGTTTGAGCTCCACATTTTAAAAAGGTCATGAAGAAGTTAAGAGAGGGTCTAGAGGTTAGGGCTGTGCAGAGCAGGTAATATTCAGTTCGACAGCCATGTCGAATATTAAACCGGGTCCTGCTTTGATTTGCCGTCTGCTTCGACTCAAGGTCGAAGCTCAGTCGAATATTTGAGCTGCTTTGACTTCTCCATAGGCTATAATGGGGAAAGTCGAAGCAGGCTATAACTTTGGCATTTCTTGTCTGATCTTGATGAAACTTGCAGGAATGGTAGCCCCTGAGGAGCCCACAAAGCCTGCTAACTTTCAACAAGATAGGTTCAGGGGGTTTGGAGAAACAGCACCCCAAATTCTTGAGAGAAAACCTCCTGTGACTTCTGTGTGGAAAGCCACAGGGAGCTCAAAACTGCAGGCTTGCTAGCCCCTGAGGAGCTCACAGAGCCTGCCAACTTTCATGGTGATAGGTGCAGGGATTTGGGGGAAACTGCACCTTAGGCTGCTGATAGACAAAACTTGTGATTGAGATGAAGTGAGGAGGTGGCATTCTCTCCGTCTGCACCTGGAGCTTGGGGACCCCGGCAGTGGGAGGTTCACCTTGAGGAACACCAGCTGCTCCACCAAAGCAGGTGTGGTGGGGTGTCACAACATCTGCAGCCACGCTAAACACCCTCTCACTTGGCACACTGGTCAGTGGACAGGACAGGTATTCCT